ATTAAATACGAAATATTGGTGGGAATCCGTTTTCTTGTAGTATAAATCTGTTATGATTTTGCGACCCTCCTTAATTATAAGAATATCCAAAAAGGGTAGTTCTAACCTGCTCTTTTCCAAGATTTAAATCTGTATAAATCTGTTATGATTTTGCGACCCTCCTTAATTATAAGAATATCCAAATAGGGTAGTTCTAACCTGCTCCTTTCCAAGATTTATACTACAAGAAAACGGATCCCCACCAATATCTCGTATTTAATTCTTGCCACCCGTCACACGTTAAACGTAACATACCTTTTAATATGGCAAGACGTGTTTGTACCATTGTCATAGATGAAACCAGAAGAAATGGCCGTCTACAGGAATTAAAAACATCTTTGCTCAGACAAAAATATCTTAACGACTTAATAGATATAGCAATTGAAAAGGCCAAGTCAATACCGACTGCAGATCTCCGTTCTAATAGACGAAGACGCCAGGAAAACAATAAGGAAATCCCGCTGGTCGTTACCCATAACCCACGGAACCTTAATATATATAACTCCGTAAAACAGTGTTTTCCTATTTTACAGCAATCCCAAAATTTAAAGGAATTAATTGACCCTAAGAGCATCATCTATAGCCGACGCCAACCTCCAAACCTAAAGAAACTCCTAACAAGAGCCAGATTCTCATCGGATGAGGAAAAACGCACTGTAGCCAAATGTATGGATCCCCTGTGTGGAACCTGCCCTTTTTTAAAAACCGGAGAATATTTTACATTTAAATGTGGTAAAACGTTTACCGTCAATGCGAATATGTCATGCAAAACTAGAAATTTAATATACTGTATGACTTGTACTTCATGCGGGGAAAACTATATTGGACAGACCGGTAACAAACTAGCTGACCGTGTAAGAGTCCATAAACAACAAATACGAGACCCCTCCGTCAGGAATACACCTTGCAGTGAACACTTTGATTCATGTGCGAATGGAAACTTTTTGATATTTCCATTTTATAAAATCACAGAAGATAATGAACAATTACGGAGGGTCAAGGAAGATTATTTTGTTAAATTATTTCAGCCTAAATTAAATGTAAATTGAACATTTTAGCTCTAAAGAAATGGTCCATTTTATCATAATGTACATGTGTTTTACTCTATACATTTGGCGCTTTTTTGACATTTACCTGTGCCAATGTATAACGCTGCCTTTGTGTCGTCATAATAACGACGTCATAACAACGAAGTTGTATTGTTTTTATTATCATTGTTACACTCTGAAGAGCCGTAACGGCGAAAGCGCTTAGTGTAAAAAATTAAACGTAAACTTGTTTGTTTATCTTGAATTTAATTTGGATTTATGACGTAACCTATACCATGAACTTCTACAACATTTTCCATATATATATATATATATATATATATATATATATATATATATATATATATATATATATATATATATATATATATATATATATTAAAAGCACTAAAAAACCAACAACACTGTATATCCTAAATGTCGGATCTACGAAGTAGATACAAGGTCACGGATGGAAATTTATATAAAGCACTAAAAATGACCAACGACACGAACAATAAAAATTGTCAAATTTTCGGGACGCCCTGTCCCTTCCTCAGGACAAAGAAAAGAGTTAAAAAGTCATAAGAACAAAGGAAAAAGCGAAACAAAAAACAACTAGCACTACTACTAAATTACTAAACACTATATATTTACATACTAAGTTACATGTTGATTTGGAAATTTTTAAGAACACTATTAAAGAAAGAATCCGGACCGCTATGAAATGCGTCCGGTCTATCGGGTATACTCGGGTGAAGTGCGATTTACATAATTGAACGAATTAATTATGCTAATTAATTACGACAATCAGTAAATCGTACATTGTTTCATTCTCTCAAAATGGCGTAACTATACTTGATAAAGAATAACCAAAGAAAAATAATATAGAAGGGGCATTTTAACATATGAATTATGATCTATTATAAATTTTAATTTGAAATGTTTTAGGACTGATTATCGGTAAAAAAATAATTAATAATTAATTAACAAAGGCGTAAGCAATACATAGTTATGTGGGTTGTTCGAGAGTTGGTGACGCAAATTAACTGTGGAGTTTACACTAAATTGAGAGAATAATCTTGTTTGGTATCATCAGGAATCGGGTCTAGTTTACGTTCATTCTGGTGAAGTCATTCAGTTTGTTAATACCATTGGGGCGGAATGACTTCAATCTGTGCATCCAGAACTTTTCTTTGCTTTTTCTCTGAGCGTCTGTCCATCTTGGGTTATGATCAATCACCACTACTGTCATGTCCTCCCATTTGTGACCCTCAAGGTTGAAATGTTCCCCAACGGGTTCATTGAGTTTTTTGGTCCTAATGGTCGAACGGTGGTTATTGACTCTCCTGCGGAGATCTCCTGTTTCACCAATATACTGTTTGGAGCAAACTTTGCAACTGATGAGATAAATGCAGTTGTCAGTATGACAGGACAAACTTCCTAGTATTTTGTAGCTGCGGCCTGTAACAGGGCTGTTAAAACTGTCTGTGTCAGTGCTGTGCTTACAAAGAAGACATCTTCTGTCAGAGCAAGTCTTAAAGCCCCCGTTAGGTAATGGGTTGTCCAGTCTGGTTCTTACTACCATGTCCTTTAGGTTCCTAAATTTGATCGACTGATGAAAGGTGTTGGCAAACGTAATGAATGCCTCGAGGCTCTCGCGACATTCCACCCACTTCATCTCTATATCGTCAATGAAACGCAACCAGCTATGGGGCCTAAATGGTGCTTGAAGTAACAAGTTGCGTTCCAGTCTGCCCATGAAGACATTGGCATAAGACGGTGCCATTCATTACGTTTGCCAACACCTTTCATCAGTCGATCAAATTTACAGTAGACGTATCTAATTCGAAAAACGTATTTCTAGATACCACATCTACCCTGATTGATGGTGAAATCGAATTCAGTCTCCACACCAAACCCACAGATTCCCACCTATATCTTATGCCCACTAGCTGTCATCCCCCACACACTTTTAAGGGAGTGCCTAAGGGTCTAGCCACCAGAATTCGACGCATCTGTTCGTCCCCTGGCTTATATCAGGAGCAAAGTGGTCTTCTTAAGTCCCACCTATGCAAAAGAGGCTACAATGCCCGCAACGTACAAACAGCTATTGATGAGATGGCGGGACATGACAGGCAAAACCTATTACGCTACAAAGAGAAAGAAAATAGCGGTAGGGTCCCTCTGGTAACCACATACCATCCCGTCCTTAAGAACCTAAGCGGTATCCTTCAAAAGAACCTACCAATTCTCCATTCAAACAAACGAATGGCAGAGGTCTTTAAGGAACCCCCATTGGCTGCATACAGACGCCCTAGGAACCTAAAGGACATGGTAGTAAGAACCAGACTGGACAACCCATTACCTAACGGGGGCTTTAAGACTTGCTCTGACAGAAGATGTCTTCTTTGTAAGCACAGCACTGACACAGACAGTTTTAACAGCCCTGTTACAGGCCGCAGCTACAAAATACTAGGAAGTTTGTCCTGTCATACTGACAACTGCATTTATCTCATCAGTTGCAAAGTTTGCTCCAAACAGTATATTGGTGAAACAGGAGATCTCCGCAGGAGAGTCAATAACCACCGTTCGACCATTAGGACCAAAAAACTCAATGAACCCGTTGGGGAACATTTCAACCTTGAGGGTCACAAATGGGAGGACATGACAGTAGTGGTGATTGATCATAACCCAAGATGGACAGACGCTCAGAGAAAAAGCAAAGAAAAGTTCTGGATGCACAGATTGAAGTCATTCCGCCCCAATGGTATTAACAAACTGAATGACTTCACCAGAATGAACGTAAACTAGACCCGATTCCTGATGATACCAAACAAGATTATTCTCTCAATTTAGTGTAAACTCCACAGTTAATTTGCGTCACCAACTCTCGAACAACCCACATAACTATGTATTGCTTACGCCTTTGTTAATTAATTATTAATTATTTTTTTACCGATAATCAGTCCTAAAACATTTCAAATTAAAATTTATAATAGATCATAATTCATATGTTAAAATGCCCCTTCTATATTATTTTTCTTTGGTTATTCTTTATCAAGTATAGTTACGCCATTTTGAGAGAATGAAACAATGTACGATTTACTGATTGTCGTAATTAATTAGCATAATTAATTCGTTCAATTATGTAAATCGCACTTCACCCGAGTATACCCGATAGACCGGACGCATTTCATAGCGGTCCGGATTCTTTCTTTAATAGTGTTCTTAAAAATTTCCAAATCAACATGTAACTTAGTATGTAAATATATAGTGTTTAGTAGTTTAGTAGTAGTGCTAGTTGTTTTTTGTTTCGCTTTTTCCTTTGTTCTTATGACTTTTTAACTCTTTTCTTTGTCCTGAGGAAGGGACAGGGCGTCCCGAAAATTTGACAATTTTTATTGTTCGTGTCGTTGGTCATTTTTAGTGCTTTATATATATATATATATATATATATATATATATATATATATATATATATATATATATATATATATATATATATATATATATATATATATATATATATATATATATATATATATATATATATATATATATATATATATGTATCTGTGTGTGTGTGTGTGTGTATGTATGTATGTATGTATGTATGTATGTATATCACTTCATACAACAAATTCGGTATGCGATATGTATTTTCAAAAAAAGAAAATCCACTATTAACATTTTTTAAAAACTTACACATCAAATATATAAAACAAATTTTGTTTAATCTTCATTAGGTTTACAGATGTGTCATGTAAATGAACCATTATAATAGGTTATCTCACTCTAAGTATTTGATTTTGCTCACAAAGCACATAGGAATGAGAGGTTTTAAAAAAAGAAGAAAAAGGTTGTCTTCTGTATCTGTACAGAGCCCAAGTGGTATTCGATGCTTAAAAGGAGTACTAAAGTTTATAATACCTAGGAACTGTCCATCCTCGTCTATGATGTGGACAAAGTTATTTTCATTGTCACTGACAATGATGTGGCCCTGACTGTCTGTAGTTATTCCTTTTGGATTGAGTGGTTTGCTACATGGAGCGGGAGCTTGTCCATAATATTTAAATCTCAGTTTCCCGCCTTGATTGACCACTACTACTGCTCTAGCTCCACAATCAGCCACACAGATATCAAGGTTCCTGTTTTCACATATGGATTTAAGAAAACCACCAGATGAGTAGAGGGGATTACCTTCATTATCAAATTGAATGGATTGTTTCTCTGTGAACCCAGAGTATCTGACAACTTTTGATTCTGTCTTGTCGTCTCTTTCCATAGTAATCAGGAGTTCACCAGAAGAAATGCTACAGACACCTTGAGGTTTCCAGTTCTGTAGACTGATCACCTCCTCTATTTTTGTCATTTCATTGTTCAAAATGTTCACAGTTCCATCCTCGTAGTCACTGTAAATAAGATCTCCAGTTCTTGACACTGTTATGTTTGTTGGACAGTTTCCCGATTTTGTTTTAACTGCCCTGAGTTGTAAACACTGATTGGTGTTGTAGAATTGAGAATGCGGACTGCGATTGGTCGATGGTGGAAACGAATTGAAAGGGTATGGGTGTTGAGACGGATTAAAAGGGTAGGTTGTTGGGTACTGATTGAGATTATCAGGTGTTGGAAACTGATTGAAGCTGAGGAGTGGTGAGTCCTGATCGGTGCGATAGAGTGTCATGATACTGCTTTCTCCACACACCCAGAACTTGTCATTTCTCAAACAGGCGATATTGTGAAGGTTGCTTAAAAAAGAAAAATCCTTTTCGGAAATCCTTGATGTCTCAAGTAGCTTTTTAATTGGTGGTTTAAATCGAATTTCTAGAGATGTTTTATCGACAAAAGAAGATTCAACTTCTACAGATTTTTGTGTTGTTTCTAGACTATATCTATTCTCTTTTGAATTAAAGGAAATTCACAGGAAGAAACAAGACCTTTCAGTTAAAACTGAAAGGCGGCTTTCAGTAACATTTCAGTGGCCATTCAGCCACTGAATGGCACATACATTTCAGTGACCTTTCAGTTGCCTTTCAGTCACATTTCAGATACCTTTCAGTCACCATTCAGCGGACACATTTCCGTCAACTTTCAGTGGCCTTTCCATCAACTTTCAGTGACCTTTCCGTCGTCTTTCAGTGACCTTTCCGTCGACTTTCAGTGACCTTTCTGTCGTCTTTCAGTGACCATTCCGTCGACTTTCAGTGACATGTCGTCTTTCAGTGACCTTTCCGCCACCTTTCAGTGATATTTAAGTCTCAATTTAGCAATTTTTTCACTAGCGTATTATTTTATAATCAGATATATTTCCTTAACAAGGAAGCAATATTTTGAATAAAGATTTATTATTCAATCTTAATTGTTTTTTTTTTTTTTACTTATCGTGATCAAATTCGGGTACCTTAAAATATGTCTAAGTAATTATTATAATTTTATAAAATATGTGAGACTTATTCAAAATGATTTTTAATTTTCTTGTTACATTTAGAAAACAAAAATTCTTCAAGTGATAAAAAATGATGATCCGATAACCGATTCAAAATTTAAATAAATGCATAACATTCTATAGTGCTTATACGTGTATTTTTTCATGGAAATATATAGTTTTGATTGATGAGACAGAATTTATATTATTTAAACTATTTCTGGAAGATCGCAAGTATTACTGATCAATTTCGTTTTTTAATTATGTCATTGTCAAAACTGCAGGATATTTAGTTTTTGAAAGACATTATTTTAAATTCATTTTTAATTACAAGAATAAATAAATCGTTTATACATGCCTCTTGTAGAAAAAAATATATAAGAGATTTTAGCTTTCTAAATGATATTGCTTTAATAAAATCATTCTACTAAGTTTCTAGAGAGAGAATTTACAACGATCTTAAATCTTTGACACAGGAACAGGTGCCTGTCTCTGATAATTGTCATCATCCCGATAGGAGATGTGTAATTAATTAGTCTGTCCCCAAATCCGCGCAACTAACATAGAATATACAAAAGATATACAAGATATATACACATCGCAGCTCCTCGATACAACAGGTGAACTGATTGTTCCATCGATTTCTATAAATTAATTGATTTTAAATTTTCAATTCTTAACAAGAAGTCGTAGCGTAATTGATAAGGTCGCGGACACCTAAGCAGTAGACCAGGGTTCGATTCTGGGCATGGGAGCAATTTTTTTTTCTTGTATTAATTTTTTTCCTATTTTTTTTATTCGGAATTAGATACATTTAATGCTCTTATACCAGGAAAAATTGAAATAAAATTTTTAGGTAAAAAAAATAAGCCGATTATTCAATAAAAAGATTCAACTGAATGATCACGGAAAGGTCACTGAAATGTATGTGCCATTCAGTCGACTGAATGGTAACTGAATGATCACGGAAAGGTCACGGGAAAGGGTCTTTTCAGTGACCTTTCAGTGACCATTCAGTGGCCATTCAGCCACCATTCAGTCGACTGAATGGTGGATTTTCATCCTGTGATTGATGATAAAGTTCCAAACAGTTTTTCCCTTTGAATTGTCCCTGGAGTAAATCTAGGTACAAAGGGCAAGAGTTTTTTTGGAAGTTTTTTGTGCTGATCTATTCTAGATTTTACACTAAATGGTACTGAAATGTCATTAGAGTCTCCGGCAATATCAAGTGAATCAATTTCATCTTTAATGTCAATAAGTGTCTTGTTAATTTCATCCAGCTGTTTCTGTAAGGTTTGGAACTGTGATGTCTTCATTTCATCAACTTGGGTTTTAAGTTTCCTGACAAGTTGGTCAATTTCTCTGTGCAAGTCCTCTCCATGTTTTGTAATGACTGTTGAGAGATCTCCGTACTCCTTCTCTAGTTGACTCATTCTGTTTTGCACATCGACTGCTATGTCCTGGTATGCAGGATAAATTGTTTCCTTTAATTCATTGTGTTCTTTCCTTATCAAGTCTTTCTTTTCATCCAGGACTTTCAAGATTTTTGATAACTTGTGACCAAGATGGTCATCAGATGCTAAGCAAGTGTGACAGACAGGAATGTCACAATGTCTACAGTACATCTCACATTGTTCTTTTTCATGGGAGAAACATCTAGGGTAGAGGGGAGTGGTATTTCTTGACTGAAATTTAACCACTTTGTGATCTTCAGATTCGTTATTTGAGATGTGATCTCCAACACAGCCTTTGCACAGGTTAACGAGACACGTATCACAGTGCATCTGCACCATAGCAGTCTCACACAGGTCACATCCCATCACATCCTGGGCACTGGTACGAGGGTTCATGGTTGTATTTGTCTCTGAAAAAATAAATTTTGATTGAATAATTTTTATCGCTCTGATTGGCTGAAATCCAACATGTATAAAATTCCGAATTGAAACAAATGTACCCAATTCCACTCAGGTAAAAAAAAATCGGGACATATAGTCTGAGGTAGATTTTCTTTTTTTTTTTTTTTGGTTGGGGGGCGGCTTACAGTTTGACTCTTTTCACATTTTTCCAATCATACCTCTGGCTCGGTGAATATTTACTTCCCAAGTTGCGAAATCAGCATATTGACCTCAAAAGCAGCAATAATTGCATAAAAAGATTTTTTGTCGATAAATCTTGAGAAGATCATCATTAAACCTGAATTTACGAATATTATACAATTACGGCTGTTTTTGAGGTCAATACAATGATTTAGCCATCTGAGGAGTGCAATATCACCGAACCCGAAGGGCGAGGTGAATATTTTACTTCAAAGATGGCTAAATCATTGTATTGACCGAAAAAACAGCAATAATTGTTTTATTATATGATTCACTGATAAAATGTTACAGCTCATTACTCGTTTGCATTTTATTACATGTAAGTCCTAGCCAAATGCAAGAGAGAAGCAGAATTAAAATGTGAATAAACCTTACCAGTCGTATCAATTTGTATGTTTTTATCAACTTTAGTTGCCATGAAAAAAATATATAATGTCAGTCTTTTTTATATGATAGATTTTGAAAGGAAGGAGTATTATCAGGGAAAACTGACTGCCAAAAGTTATAAAAAAATTGTTGTTCAGTAAAAGTGTTGAAGGGGGTCTCTGCATCCCCGCTTACCACCCTCACCCTGAAATATATATTCGCTTATGTTTTGTTCACATGAAAAAATTATCATAATTGTTCAAATAGCTTTCCAAAACAATTTGTATCAATTTGGAATTTCTCAATCTATTTTTAGATCAATGTAGAGGAAATAAATCCTTGTATTGACCTGGAACGTCACGTGCAGGTCAATTCAACGTAGTATTTTTTAATATAATTGGATCTCAGCCAATCAGAGAGATGGAAATTATTCAATCATATAATAATGTAAATTGTGAGAAACGTTTTATTTTTGCCTTTTCCATCCCTTAGTTTATTTTTCTCTCAATAATGGATCCAATTTACTTCAAATTTCATAAGTAATTTGACAAACTTACAAAGAAAAAAAGGAAAAAGTTTTTCAAAAGTATCAGGTGTAAATTGAAAACAAACAAGGTAAGATTTTTATAAGTATGGCAATAAACACCCCAATCTATTTTGCAAGAACCAAGCAAACTTGTATGGTTTTCTCTTATTAAATGTGACCTTACATTCAAGTTTTGATATACATATGATGAGGTTGCGCCAAGAGAAAAAAAATATTTATAAATTGAAATAAATATGAGGTTCTGTATCACTGCAGGAACCAGTTGGTCATTTATCTTAAAGATTTCGTTTTTGTTTCAAACTGCTTTAGAAACCTTCTCTTCATTTTTCTCAATACCTTGATCACAAATTGCTTTAATAGATACAGTGGAGTCTCATTAACCGGACGCTTTGGTTCCAAGTCAGTTTGTCCGGATATGTGAAGCATCCAGATATCTGAATTACCAGTTAAACAAGACAAAATAACTTTTAAAAATTCCGTTCCGAAGAAAAATCGTCCGGATACTGAAGCATCCGGATATCTGACGTCCAGATATCTGAAGGTTCACTGTAGATTGTTTAGGTAGATATACAGTTTTAGTAGATATATATAATAAGGGGGTAAAACTGTGAGTTTTTAGGGGAAAGATATGAAATCCTTTTCAATTCTACATAATATTATTACCTGTCAACAAAGGGGAAAATGGCGACTCCTTTTACCAACTAAAATCCAACACAAATCAAATGGTGTTTTAGGTCACAAGACTGCATAATATACCTGCCAGGTATTGTATTTTGTCCTGGTCTAAGCAAGATATTTAAATGTCTGTTTTAAAATACTCGGTAGCATAAATATACAAAGCTGTAGGATGTATGTATTAAATTTATATGATTGAACAAATCTTATGACGAAGAAGAGTAGGGCCATTTTAATTTAGTTGGGTATTGTGGCTAAAAAGGTTTCTTGTTCTCTATGCAGTCATAATTAATGAAATAAATTTGGGCAACAGGGCGTTGTTTTCTTGATGTAAAGAGAGATTATCCCAGAGTATTGTATATCCTTCAGTTATCAAAATGTAATGACCTAATGAAAAATAAGTTATTCACTCATTCAGGTATTTTATTAGACCCGTAACCGTACATTGAATTTGTTTTCAATCCCTATGTACATGTATTTAGTTCAGGCAAAGTTCTTTCGGAATATCATAATTGGACTTTGTTATGTAATGTAATGTAGAAAATGCCATGCCTTAAATTTTACAGAATGGGGAA